CTGCAAACTCCGCTGCAACTGCACATGCCACAACTCCTGCGACAAACCTGTGAACTCCGCTGGTCGAACACTATCAAACTCCTATGTTTGCAAACGCTCCTGTTCGCGGTAACTGCACACGAACTCCTGTTCGCGAACTCGACCTCGCCTAATGCCGCGAAGGTTTATGAACTATCGCGCCTCAAAATCGCGACGCCGCCTCTACCGCGAACTCCCGAAAGCATAACTCGCCGAACTGCCGTAGCCCTTTATCCGAACTGCTTCGCACATGTTCCTTCCCGCGAGCCCGTCCGCCTTGCGAACAATTTTGATCCTTTCCAATCCTCTACAGCAGCCTTCAGCGGAAGAAAATCCAAATTCCTTTCCAAATTAATCCTCTGCGCAGCAGCCTTTACCGGAAGGGAATAATGGAGGGGAATATTCCTCTAGTATAATCAAAGATTCCTCCTCCTCAGCTCCTCCTTCCTTTCCGTTCCTGACATTCGCCGCTCCGTTCCTGCTCCTTTCCTATTCTGCTCGGCCAGATCCTTGCCTTCCTTTCTGGCAGCGAATCCTAGCACCTAACAGTCTCTGCTCGCAAAGCTTCCGAGAGGCGCAGAACCTTGCGATCTTCCGCTTTCCGCGAAGCTTCTGCCCCGCAGAAGCCTTCGCCTTCGCCTGCGGAAGAGGCAATAATGCACGCGAACTCCTGTAACCGCGAACGCCTGCTGAGAATCCCTGCTGAGAATCGCGAACTGCGGTGATCCTCCACGAACAGCGACTCCCGAACCGTCTGCCCAGGCGGCGAACAACTTCCCTCTGCTACATCCGGCTTTGCCTCCAAGCGCTGCCCGGTACGAACTTTCGCCCGCAAATCTCCGGCGAATCGGAACTACAGCGAACCTTTCTTCTTGGGTAGTCGTAAATTTTCTTCCCCGCACTCGAACTTGCTCTGATACCACTTGTTGAGAAAATTATGACGAAGAAAACAGTAAGAACGACACAAATCCAGAAGAACAAAGAGATTTAACGAGGTTCGGCAAAGATGTCTACGTCCTCGGGAGCAGAGCGGCGAGTTCCTTTCAATATTCAGAAAAGGGTTTACAGAATTCAGGGATCCAACTCTCTCAAAGACATAGGATTACAAACAGGTCTATTTATAATCCTAGAGTAAGCCCTGCAGTACAATATGTAATTCCCAAATTACCCCTGTACCGTATAGCCCCAACCCATATAACGTAACTTCCCAATTTGGACAAATTCTTTCGCTCCGCTTCATTCCAGCGTTTGTCCCTATATGGTATATGAGTCATACCATAACACAAATATTATACGAAAACGATGTGAAAGCATAGAAATTCACACAAGAGCAATCAAACCAAAAGATTTACATGATTCGGGATTAAATCAATTCACCTATGTCCACACGGAGGGAGATTTCACTAACACCGGAAAAGGAAAACCCAAAGACGGTTTAGGGTTACAACACTTTCTCTTTATACTCCTCTCATAAACCCCAAGTCTTTTTTATAGAGAAGACTTGAATCATATAAAAAAAAAGAAATAAAAAATAAATAAATCAAAAAAATAAACTCATTAAATAAAAGCCAGGAATCCGACAAACTATTCATCGAAAGTTGTATTCATTTTTTTTAAATGATACTTTTGATATGATATGAAAGATTGGAGAGGAATAAATGTAAAAGAGCAAAGTTTAGTTGTTAAACACAATAATTACATGCATAGGAATTGGGCGGTAAGTATGCAAATCCCCAATTAAATAATTTTCAACATTGACACATGCTGTATGATAATAACATCAAACTATTATAGTTTTTTCTGTAAAATAAAATATTATTTAATAAAATACTCAAAGGAAAGCTGCATCATTTCCTTTTCTTATTCTGAACAATATTTTGTGTTAGAACACCTTCAATGAATTGTTTTTTACACCCTCCAGAAAGTATTAAGATTTTATTGGCATAGATTTAAAGCTGCAATTTTCTAATGGTTACTACAAGTACAATATGGACTCCTGCACTGTACGACTAGCCATGGCTTCAAGGAGCTTGTTGGCTACTGCTCCAGCATACACTGTTGAACCTTCGCATATCTGCACTCATTTATAGAAGAAAAAAAAACTTATTATTAATTTTTTTAAGATAAAACTTTTACAGTAAAAAAATTATTTTAAAAAAAATTTCATGCATACAAGCATGAGTGAAAGAATAGCTCTTTCATGCGTGTCCATCATGCATACATGCATGAGTGAAAGAATAGCTCTTTCATGCGTGTCCATAACACCAAAATGCTTTGGGTGTCAGATATGTAAATACATAAGAATCGTGTGGTATTCATGTAAATTTCTCTATATTATAGTAAAAGAATAAACTTGACAAACCTTAGCATTGAACATGAAAATGTGATAATCCCCAATAATTCCTCCCGCGACATGATTCAGATCAAGCCTAAGCTCCTCCAATACCTTGGCGGCAAAAAGCAGCGTATTCGTCTTCTTCTTCTGCGTCAGCTTTATGTTCACTTCATCATCAATAATCCGAACGTCAACGAATGTCTCCTTAGACTTCCTTTGCAGCCAGGAGCTTCGAAGAGGTCCGTAGAGTGGAAGTAGGTTTTCCTGATCGTCTTCCTTCGCCGATCTTATCGTGGAGCTCTCCATGTCAGTGCAGGCTGTGGTCTCTTCTCCTCTTATTATCTGCTTGCAGCATCTCTCTCGAGTGCCTGATCGTTTTTTGTCTACTAGTAGTTTCAGCTCGTCTATGGTTCGGAGGAGCTCTTTGATGTAGTCAATGGCGTCCCCGACGGTGGAGGCGCGGTCGGGCTGTGGGGTTTGAAGGAAACAAGAAAGAAAAATTAGGGTTAAATTGATTCAAGCAAACGAGAAAATATCAGGCGCGTCTAATGCACCTACACACAGCCAGTAGTAAGATAGAGGGGAAATATTTGCGTACCTAATACTCAGGCGGAGCTAAGTCCATAATAACCTCTGTTTTGTGGTTATTATGAGGTTATTGAGATATTATTAGGGCACTAATTCTAATAACCTTCTAATAATTTTGGCCGGTTCTATTTCAATGTTATTCATATGAGAGTATTGCGGGTGTTGAGAAAAGCCATACCATAACAGCGGGGTTAATGTAATATGTACGCAGAGCCGTGTGCTTATTACTTACTCAAATATTTCTCCAAATTGAGTGTGCATATAGATGTCCTCTTCCGTTATTGGTTGGTCTCATATGAAATATTTTCTCTAAATATATAGAGGTGTTAATATATAGTAAGATTTAGAATTAATAAAAAAAATTATATATACCACACAACATTCTCATGTATTTGCATATCTAATATTTATTTACATAATATTTATACATATATATATATATATATATATATAGCAACATTTTATCTTAGAAAAGTTAATATTAGTGATAATTTTGACATAAAGTCTAAGATTTGAACCTTATATAAGTTAATTTTAAATTTTAGATATTAAATATTTAAATAGATAAGAATTATGCGATATGAAAACCACTCTAAGAGATATATGAATAATATTGTTGAAGTCACTGTCAATATGATGATTAAGTATTAGTAGTGTGTTTGGTTGGATTGATTGAACTGAACCAATCAAATTGATGGATTGGTTATAACTTAGAAATAACTTCTTTATGGCATCAAATTAACTATTTTATTGATCATAAAAAGTTTGTCAAGTAATATTCGGAATTAAATGTGCTACACTTTTTTCATTTTTTCTTCTCATGTATTGAGAAAAAAATTTAATGAGGGAGAGGAAGCAAATTTATTTATTTATTTATGAGTATTTCATTTATTTTACAACTTCTAAGAAATATTCAAATTTCAAGTTGAATAATTTGTCTTGAGTGAAACCTTATTATCTTAAAAGACGTTTTGAACTATTTCTTAAAAATTGGCAATGGGGTGTTTATTGCGTCATCAATACACAACAAGTATGTTTTCATAGTATAAAATCGAATCTTTTTGGTCCATCCGGTTAAACTTGACAATCATAATCAAGCCCTAATCACATAGGATAAAATATTACATCTGATCACCAAATCCCAAAAAATTGCACAGAGCAAATTCTCATGCATGTTGATTTGATCTCCCGTGATTGATTGTTCAGACGTGATTGTACAGACTCGATTGTAAGAATATTAATTTTTTCAAGAGAGAGAAAGAGAGAGAAGAGAGAAAGAGAGAGAGAGAATGTTAAGAAAAGTAGGGATTGGAGAGAGAATAAATGCTTAAGCCAACTTGGAGATTTAAAACTAACAAAATCCAATAAGCAGACATGAACATTCAAAGAGAGAATGCTCAGAAAAAGCAAGATTGTGCAGCAATCCTTTCTCAGAACTAAAAAAAGAATTACCTTAGTAGGATTAGGAACCAGGGATCTCAATGCAGCATACTTCTCATTCAGCTGCACCCTCCTCTGTCTCTCAGTGGCGAAACTCCCCTTCATCTCACCCTTCACCATTTCTCTTCCATAATCCAACACTCCATTAAACCGCCTGCTCTCTCCTTCTCCCCCTCCCACCCTCTTTCCCTCTCCTCCAACCCACAAAACAACCCGTAATTCTGCGGCAACGACCCGAATAAATCCCGCAAAACCCTCGATTGCGTCCCCATACCCATCATCGGCTCATAAAGCATCGATACGCCGTCCAATGCTATCGAATTCGCCGGTGGGTTCACTGCACATCGCGGCGGTTCGAGCAGGTTCAGGAGATCGGGTACGTCCGGTCCGGACCGGAGGTAGGTCGGATCGGGGTAGAGAGCTTGTGTCAGCGGCGGTGGTGGTATTTGATCACCGTAACATATGTCCCAATTAGGGTTTTCAAAAGGGGGCTGAGGAACCGAACCTACTACTTCCATGTCGAAGCTGAATTGTTGATTAATCTGCTCATCGAGATTGAAAGAGGGGAGAATCTTATCATCTTCTAACAAACATTCATTGCTGCTGCTGCTATCTGCAAAAGATGGGGGCATCATGGGTTCATCGGGCTCGTGAAGAGTGCTGAAATAGCTCGAATCTTCGAACATCGCTAAGGTTCTTCTCTGACCTTCAATCAATCTGCGAGAAATTAAATGGAGAGGGATGAAGTATGTAATTCAAGAAGAAGATTTTTGAAGATAAATAAGAAATGAGCTGATTAGTGAAATTGAAACCTGAGAAACAGGAGAAGAAGCGAAGGAAGATGAAGGGTTCTGTTGAGGATGCTGAGAATTGGGATTTCTCCTGTGTTTAAGGTAAAGATTCTCTTATTATTATTATTATTATCAAAACGAGCCGAACACGAGCCATTTTGACAGCCCTAATTAGGGGTTGTTAATATATAAATTTAAAATTAGAGGCTTACATTTTATTATTTAAATTTATTTTCAATCTTAATATATAAATTTAAAATAAGAGGCTTACATTTTATTATTTAAATTTATTTTCAACAAATATTAGTAAATTATGTTGAAATGAACTAAATTTATTACGAGTAGTGTGATATTTTCACATTTTATTCATGCCAATCATATTACAGGCTCAATCCTAATTTAAGAAGAGAGAGAGAGAGAGAGAGATTCACATACATACCACTCGATTCTTGTGTATTTACATATCTGCCAACTTCAGTTTAATTTTTATGCTAGTATCACCTTATGTATCCATGAAAGTGTATTTCATTTTTTTCTTAAAAGTTAAAATAAAAGTTATTTTTTTATGTGAAATAAATGAACTGGATGGTATAAATGTAAGAAGTAGCTTTTAGATATTAAATTAGTAAATTCGTAGAAATTGCATGATATCTAATAAAATGCCCCATAAATCAGTAAGATTAGAATCAGCCTTAGAGTAAGTTTGGGTAATCTGCTGATAAGCGATTAAAAATAATCTACTGATAAGTTAGGTGTGGTGGTTATTATAATTTTTTTTTTTTTTGGAAAGTCAGACCGCAGTCAGAAAGCTCTCACGGCACCTAAATAGGTGTGGCGTGAAAACGCTATTTTCAGCGTTTTGAAAACGCATATCTGCCAAAACGCAGCTTACCCAAAGTTAAAATGTATTTTATCCAAACATGCTAGGTGCGTTTTCAAAACGCCACTGCACCAAATAAATTGCCGCAAACGGACCCTAAGGGTTTGTTGTTATTGTTAAACGGGCTCTTAGGGTCTGTTTTGGGCAGCTGCAACTTATTGAATAATCTGTTGATAAGTTAATTATTAATAGTAAAAAAATTAATTGAATAATTCGGATCATTGACTACTTTAAGTGTAATAATCATAATAATGGGAGAGAATCAAAGTCTCTCAACATCAATCTAATGAAAACAAAAATGCATAAGCTTTCAAAATGTTTGTGTGATTCCTATTTATTTACATATCTGACACCTAAACTTTCTTATTTACATTTATGGCATCCAAAACTTTTATTTCACATAAGAAATATAACTATTTTAAGTTTTAAAATGTGAAATACAAATTTTTATGTATAGATAAGGTGGTCTCTGTGTGTCTTTATGCAGAAAATCAAAATTTAGGTGTTAGATATGTAAATAAATAAAAATTGAGTGGTATTTCTAGTTTAAAATGGTATATCTGATCTTTAAATTGTATTTGAACCCAGCTACAATCCACCTAACGCTAACCTTCAAATACAAGGAGTTGGAAAGCTAACATGATGAAGAGAAGACGAGCAATTGCTCCCTCTGAAATTATGAAAGTCACAATTTTTACACATAAATAATTTTATTTTCTTATGTAATTTTGTAATTTTGCGCCCCAACCCTTCGCAATAAATTTTTTTTTCCCAATAATAAGAAAAAAAAGGTCTAGACATTTGCTAAATTTTGTCCCCCCTAAAAAAAAATAATTCTAATTTTGCCCATGTAATGAATTATGATTTATTTTTATTATAATTTTTTTAAAAAAATTGAAGCATCATTATTTAGGGTCCGTTTGGGGCAGCTTATAAGTGTGGGCGTCGTTTTGAAAACGTCGCCGTATCGTTTGGTTCGCGTTTTTCGTCAGCTTATCTGAAACTGCATTTGAGTTTTTACACTAAATGCGGACCGCGTTTCAGGATAAATAGTTTATCATGAAACGCACAAACTGACCCAAACGGACCCTTAATAATATAGTATAACAAGATTTACATGCCTATGAGTTGAGTCAAAGTCCATTACCAACCATAATAATTGGAATTAAGACCATAAAGTCACACTCTTTTTACTTGGCATCTTTGCTGTTATTCCTCTTTGGGGAAGTTAGGAAACGCAAGCCATGCCTCTCACCTCCCTATGCTTGAGGAAATATTCTCTTAAAATAATTGCTAATATTGATTATTTTATTTTATTTTTTCTATAAATTATGTGACCACTATTAGTGATATTGATGATATTGCATGCAATTATAAAAAAAAAATGTTTTCGTATATTAAATTATAGGATCAATTACTTGCGTGCTACGCAATTCTTATGTATTTAAAGATCTGACCGCCGAACAATCATATTTACATGTATAAAATTCAATTCTTTTATATTACATTAAAAAAAAATCATTTTTTATATTTCATGCATATGATTGTGAAACTAAAGTATTGATAAGTGTACATATCAAATTTCGGGTTTTAGATATATAAATACAAAATAATTGTGACTTTTGCATGTAAATTTCCGTTAGTTATAATTCAGACAATATCATGAAATTCAAACACAATAGCTAATGAAAATATGTCTTACAATAATATTGATAAGTCCAAAATTAGACTAACATGTATATTGATGGCAATATGAAGCTACTTAGTATGACTTATTGTTGAGAAAATTAGGGCGAAGAAAAACAGTAATCGACACAAATCCAGAAGAACACAGAGATTTAACGAGGTTCGGCAAATATGCCTACGTCCTCGGGAGCAGAGCGGCGACCTCCTTTTCAATATTCAGAAAAGAATACAGAATACAAAATTCAACTCTCTCAAAGACCTAATATTACAAACAGGTCTATTTATAATCCTAGAGTAAGCCCTGCAGTACAATATGTAATTCCCAAATTACCCATGTACCGTATAGCCCTAACTCATATAACGTAACTTCTCAATTTGGACAGATTCTTTCGCTCCGCTCCG